GCCCTAGAGCGAATCAGGTTGGAGTGAGCAAAGGGGGACGGACTACCCTAAGGGACTACCAACCTCAGTCCTGGAGAATTTCCCATATTCCTCCTGCACACAGCCCTTTCTGGACTGAGAGAAGCAGCTCCCAGCTCCCCTACCTCAGCGCTGCCCAAAAGTCTCCAACTTTTTCTCCAAGAAATAGTCCCAGGGAGGGTAACCCACTGACAGCCATGCTTCAACAACTCTAGCCACAGCAAAGGCCTGGCCTATGTGGGTAAGCATCCCTTGATCTAGATAATGGGTATCGGGTGGGCTGAGAGTGGATAGGTCACACCCAAGTCCAGTCACAGGTTCTGGAGTCTCTGCCCCGGGTGCCCTGACTGCACCAGATCAGAACAAGTTGCTTCCAGGCAGAAGAAAGCAACAATGTTTAACTTCCTTTCCAGTTCAGCTTTATTTTGCAAAAATTTACAAGACCTCCTTTGCATGGAAATGCTTGTAGGGACCACATGAATCAATGTGCCCTCACGGTCCAGACTTGGTGGCAGAGACAGGACACAAGTGCCATGATAGACAGTGCCATGGTCTCTCTTCCTGTGCCCTGGATAATTGAATAAAAAATCGGATTTAGTGCCATGGTAGACAGAGGTGCAAATGGACCCAAAAAAGGAAGAGATCAAGGAAGGCTTCCCAGAGTAGAAGAGTCTTGTCAATACGTATGTCAGATGGAGAAGGGAGATCGGCAAGAGCAGAAATCTGCAAGGTTATGAGAAGAGGGTGCATCTAGGAAGGACAAGGTGACCAGAGTGGTAAGCAAAGGGATAGCTATAGATGAGGATGGAAAAATAGGCCAGACAGTTCCTGATGCCATGTTATAAGCTTTTGACTCTACATAGCAGGGACTATTGGCTTCAAACCTTTTTGACAACAAAGTTTAGGTGAGGCTACCCAGGGACCCCAGACTTGGTTCCTTGCTCTTAACCTGATCTATCTTTTCTTCCACAGATAAGATCCTGAGGAGGCAGGAGAGACAGAGAAGGAGTATGGGTAGGGGGAGGGGGAGCCCTGGCTTCCAATACCTCCTTCGCTTGCCTCCTGGAGCTTCCAGGGGTCTCAGGCAGCATCATCCGTCTACCGTACCCTCCTGGCCACTGTGGTCCTCGGTCTGCTTGGCTACATGGCCTTCAAGTGGTAGGTGGTCTGGGCACTGCCCTGTGGCACCCCCTTCCCTTTCTGGACTCCAGCCAATTCCGTCTTGAAGGCGGGAGTAGGTTGGCAGATCCCTTGTTCCCCACAGCTGGCACTCACATAAGCAAAGACATCAGCTGGCCAAAGCTTTAACTGCAGAGCTGGGAGGGCTCAACAATGACCAGATGCATGGGGATAGCAGTGTCTTCCTGGACTCTCCTAGCAGTCTGGAGCCCTGTGCCTCCAGCCAGGGTGAGCCCCCTTCCCAGTCCTTCGTAGTAGAAATGCCTCACCACCTAGCCCATGTGTGATCCTCATATCTCCTGCCCAAGGACCACATCCTGAGCTTGGCTGTCGACTTTACCATCATCTTCCTCGGTGGCACCAGGATAAAGTGGAGCGGCTGAGGAGTGTCAGATGAACCTGACAAGGGCTGGTGGGGACTGGCAGGCCATCTGGGCTACTGGGCTGAGGCTGTAGAGACCACGGCCCAGGGCCAGGTGCAAGCCTACACTGCTGAGGGACTGGGCTATCCAAGAAGGCAGTGGTGCCACCCTCAAGGTGCTACAGAATCCCCTGGTTGCCAACGACTGTGAAGATGTGGTCCAGGTCCTGGGCCCCCCAGCTGAGGGCTGCTCTGTGGTGTGACTGCTGCCCCCGTAGCCTACCCTGGTGCTCCCCTACCTCTGTCTCATATACCTTCCCCTTCGTGGGCTTCCTGGGATTGCTGGGCTCAGCCTGCTCTGTTCTGGGGAAGAACACCGAAAATCCAGCCACCATTCACTTCCCCTCACCCACCCATCCCCTCCAGAAGAGGGCAGGGAGGAGTGGGGAGTGGGCAGTGAGGAGTGGTCCTACCCTTTGGATCCCTACTCCACTTCCCCTTATTAAGCCTCAGCTGGATTTGCTACTTTTGTATCCCGTATTAAAGGTGATTTGGCTCTATCTGGCTTCTTGGGCCTATGAGACAGTTGTGTGGGTGGCTATGAGGCAGGGGCCCAGAAAAGGTCCAGGGGTCCCTAGGCTGTGGGAGGGCCCTCTCCAAGCAGCACCTGGGATGGCAGGCAGTGTGCTCCTATAGAAGATGTATGGGCTCTGGAGGCACAGATCAGAGTTCATATCCTGAGTCTGCCATTTGCTGGCTGTACCATGTTTGGAAGGTATTTTACCTTGCTGATTATTTTACCTTGGCTATTTTATCAGCTTCCTTAGCTAGAGAACAGTAAGTTTAAGTGAAACATATAGTAGTTTCCCCCACATCTAAGACTCCCAGGTTGGTGCTGAGGGACCCTGGGTTTGACTTCATTTTCCTGACTTGTTCTGTGAGCACCATCAAGGGGAGGCTAGAGGCCTATTCCTCTAAACAGGAGGAAAGAAGCAGGCTGATCCTGGACCAAGGGCCTCAGCTCACCTCTAAATGAGAAAAAAGAAAAGGCTTGCCTTACAAGGAGTTCCAAATGTGCTTCCACATCTGCTCATGTGGTTTCTACACACACCAAGGCAAGGTGGGTGTCCTAAGCAGCTCAGGACAGGGCAGGTGCAGCCAAGTTACCTGTACTCCATGCATATACCCACCCCAAAGGGAGAGGCAGGTAGGATGGCACAGTAAGTGACTTTTGAAGGTGCTATAAAAGACAAGCCCTGCCTAGGAAGGGACAATGGCTACTATCCTGGCAGCTCCCAGCATAAGGCGGCTTCAGAGGCACAGCCGTCCAAACTCACTCTGAAGACACGGGTTCCAGTCATGATCTAGTGGGGCCCAAGGTAGATCCTGTACCTTTGCTGAAATGAGATGCAGCTGGGATTGGCTACTCTGTGAGTGCCAAGCTCATCAGACTGCTGATATTGCTACCTTCAGAAGTAGTTGATGAGGCTTGCTTAACACTGTAAATCTTTCCCTTAAACGAAGGAAAAGCAGGAAGTTTGTAGCCACCTTCCTCCTCAGATGACCTTAGAGCAGTAACCCTGAAGGATCAGGAAAGAGAGCAGGGAAGATATGCACCAGTTGCTGGAGACATCATAACCTAGAGCCTTGGGTCAAAACCATGCATTGGATTTGCGAGCAGCAGCACATATGGCTGCACCCCTGCACTGCAACCCGTTGAAAAGAGAAATGCCCCCTTTCGACAAGCTGAAACACATTAACTAAAATATTATCTGTAATAGACATAACTCTAAGATGTTGAGAGGGTTGAGCAAATTATGATCTGTGCATGTGATATAATAATGTGCTTTAGGCTGGGCGTGGTGGCTTATGCCTGTAGTCCCAACACTTTGGGAGGCCGAGGTGAGTGGATCACCTGAGGTCAGGAGTTCAAGACCAGCCTGACCAACATGGTGAAACCCTGTCTCTACTAAAAATACAAAATTAGCCAGGCGTGGTGGTGTATGCCTGTAGTCCCAGCTACTCGGGAGGCTGAGGAAGGAGAATTGCTTGAACCGGGGAGGCAGAGGTTGCAGTGAGCCGAGATCACGCCACTGCACTCCAGTGCAGGGGCAAGAGTGAAACTCCATCTCAGAAAAAATAATAATATGCTTTAAATAGTTTTGAAGGCTGCAGTATGAGAAACAATTCTGGATATTTGCTAAATAGCATGTCTAAGTTTAAAATAGGAATTTCGCCCTTCTTTTAACAATTCCCTTACTACTAGGATATTAGAAGAGTTACTGAACCCCTCTGACACTTAGTTTCCTCATCCTAGTGCCGATTCCTGTGCCTCAGGACTGTGAGCACAACCTGAGCTCTAAGTGCACAGCACAGTGCCTAGTGGGCAGTGAGTGCTCTAATTGCTACTCACCCTGCAAAAGATTTGGCAGGCCACAACCTGACCTCACCTCCTCCACCAGAACACTGCTGCAGCAGGCAGAATAACCATGGTGAGAAACAGGTGGGACCAACCTCTTTGCAAAAGTGGGCCCCAGTCTGGCCTGAAGCCCTCAGCCTTCCTCGCTGCCTAGATAACTAATCCAACAAGTGAGGGAGAGGTCTCCCACCAAGCCCTGCCATCCCGGAAATGTTCACTACCATCATAACATAAATGTGCACTGTACCTCTTTTGTAGGGGTCCTTTCCTGTCCTCTAGTGTCCAAGCCCAGTGTTAGAGGGCACATTGCAAAGCTGGGGAAAACATCATATGAGCATTTCAAACTAGGTGTCCAACACTTTGGTAGGCTAAAGCAAAAGGACTGCTTGAGGCCAGGAAGTCAAGACCATCCTGGGTAACATAGCAAGACTCTGTGTCTTCTACAAAAAAATTTAAACCATATTACCTAGTAGTCCCAGCTACTCCAGAGGCTGAGGCAAGAGGCTCGCTTGAGCCCAGGAGTTCAGGGATGCAGATGATTGCACCACTGCACTCCAGCCTGGGCAACAGAGTGAGATCCTATCTCCAAAAAAAAAAAAGTATTCCAGTGGGCTCAGAAAAATCAAGTCCATGGAGGGAAAAGATTCAATGCTTCTCTCCAGGCAGGACAAAGTATCAAGGGAGAAGACAAATTTGCCTTTCTCTTGACTGATCTATTAACCAAAATAAAGAAGTCTAGTGCCAAAGAGGCCCTAGATTCTACTTCTTTTGCTCTGGAATGCATGTGCAAATTGACCCAATGCCTGAGCACAGCCATAGGATCCCAAGCCTACAAGTGTCAGTCACCTTGCAAATGTCTGTCTCAGTCATAGTAGGATCTATGGGGAATGAACAAATCCTGTAATAAAATCCAATCACAGGGTTTAACCTTGGACTTCACACACCTAAGGCCATGATCTCTCCATTCTCCAGTGATGTCATTACACACAAATATGCTCGATTAACTTTTAGGGAACACACATGCCAAGTTCTTTAATTGATTTTATTTTTTTACATAAAAAGTTCAGTAAAAATTGGATAAAGTAAAGTGATTTTAAGCAGTAAATCAATCTTATCAACATAGCACAAGGCTGGCCGAAACCACAAGGCAGCCTGCTTTGGAATATTTACATGATAACAAATTAAACCTTGTAGGAGAACTTAAACTGTCCTTACAAAGTCTTCCTGTGATCCTAGCATGTAGAGGCTAAAAGCAAAACGAAAACCAAACAAAAACCAGAAAAAAACAAATTATTTTCAATATATTCACATATACATTAAAATATAATACAGATCATCAGGGTAAAGGGTTGTGGGTGGGGATGCGCATGGGTCTGTGCGCTGACAGCACCGCCAAGGAGGAGACCCAGGTTTAAGAGTGGAGTCAGGTCTGGCCAGGGTCTTTTCTAAGCCCTTACACCTCTGATGGCTTCTAATAACATGCCAACAGCTCACAACTAGGAAATCACTTGTATATGGAGTTCATTTTTGTGGCCTTCGGTTGACATCTGCACGGTTGAATTTCCCAGGGTGATGTGTCATCAGTAGCACAATGCTGACAGGGGTGGGGCAGAAAGGCCCACAGGACTTCCTCTCCCTAGAGTCTGTCTTACCTGACCACCCATCCTCCCGCCCTGGCCCAATAGTCACTCTAATTCAGTGTCCTCTTTGGGTTTGTAAACAGCCCCAAACTTCTGCATGTACTTCTTAATGTACTCCTTGGTTTTGTGTTTCACATTCTCATTGCATTCCAGGTCCTCAGGATTCTTACAGTACTTCAGCTCCTTATTCATAACACCATGAGTCAGCTGTCCAGGGCACAGGAAGAGAGAACACAGCCACCGATCAGAGCAGAAATGATTTGATGGGGAGGCCAGGGGTGGTTATCCAGCCTGCTGCTTCAGGGCCCTTCTCACCAAGACTGGAAGTTCCTAAGGGGGTTGATGTTGGGGCAGGCTGGTGCTAGGATCACCAGAAAGGACAAGCTCAGCTCTGAAAGTTTCTTAAAAAACTATTCCTCTCATGTAAGGTACACATCCCTCCCTGTTCCTGGGTCCCCAGCCCTGACATCTGACAAGAAAAAAAAAAATACTTTCTATGATGAAAAGGGCTTCTTAGAAGGTACACAGTTTGCCCAGAATGTTGCTGGCAGACCACTAAAAGCACGGGGAGTACCTTGCGAGCCAGATGTTTAAAGTCTTCAGTTGTGGTAATTCTTCCCACTTTGCAGTCAGGTTTCCGGTAAGGGTTCAGGCACTGGACGATGAACTGGGACATCTGCAGGCAGAGAAAAGAGAACACATTGCTCAACAGTCCAGAGAGGGCGAGGAGTTGTACTGAGGAAATAACTAGAAAAGAGAGTGAGTAAAGCCAGCCAACTCTTCTCCTTTTCTTCCCTCAGGTTTACTGGTTTGGACAGTGGAATACTAGTTAGCCAGTAAGATCTGAGAAAAGGATACAGGCTCAGCCTGAGAGGAAAAGAGCTTCCGTGGATGGACTAAGCAAGCCTTAAAGGAGCTGGAGGAACTCAACAGCAGGACTTCAATGCTGAGTCCTTCAGCAGCCCCAAGTTTCAGCCAATGAATTTTGTGTCCTTGGCATAAAGACAGTAGCTGGGTTCTCTGAGCCCTGGAGGCAAGGCAAAGCACGGCAGGTATTCCAGAGCTACTATGAGGCTTAGCAACCCAGGAACCACAGAAGTTTTATCATTGAAGGGTACTTACATTCTTTAAGTGGTCATACCACAGCCATGTGAAGCAGATGGAAGCATGATATGACAACCAGCAAAGGAAAACCTGGGAAGGATCCTTTTCATTCCACCACTTACAATGTCCTCCCTGGGCTAAGTATGGTCTGTCCTACCCAGGTACTCCCAAATACTCTAGGAATAGGACTCTTGGAGGTATTTGTGGTGCTAAGATCACAGGGGACAAAAAGGAATAAAGAGGCCAGTCATAGCCATTTCATCAGAGAACACTTTGAACAGGGTCTATCCATCACTAAAATTCAGTAAGCCTTCAGATGTTCAAAGAACAAGGCTATATCACAAGATAGGCACTCAATAAACAGCTGCTGGTTGAATGAGCTTAAATACCAATATGTTCACAAAGGGATCATAAGAAACTAAATTTTATCCCTGGATAAGCCTTTTACTCAAGGTTCTCTGTGGTCTCCTGGCCTCCGTACTCTCTTCCTTTAATCTGTTCCCTCTAACACAGATAGGGATTTCATTACCCACTGCTTAAAATCCTGTAATAGTTCCCTATAACCCACAGACACATAGCTCCTACATGATGAAGCACAATACCATTTGACCTCATTTTTTTTTTTTTTTTTTTTTGGAGTCTTCCTCTGTCACCCAGGCTGGAGTGCAGTGGCTTGATCTCGGCTCACTGCAACTTCTGCCTCCTGAGTTCAAGCAAGCAGTTCTCTGCCTCAGCCTTCCAAGTAGCTGGGATTACAGGTGGCTGCCACCACGCCTGGCTAATTTTTTGTATTTTTAATAGAGCCAGGGTTTCACCATCTTGGCCAGGCTGGTCTTGAACTCCTGACCTTGTGATTCACCCGCCTTGGCCTCCCAAAGCGCTGGGATTATAGGCGTGAGCCACCACGCCCAGCTTGACTTCATTTTCAACAGCCCTCCCACACCTTGTGGTATAGCCCATCAGGCCACTTACAACTTCCTGTAAGCTCTCTCTTGCCTCTGGTACATTCTATTGATATAAGTTGAGGCCCCTGCTGATCCATCTGGCCAATTCCTACCCTGGATTCAAGAGCCTTTCCTGACACCCCAGACTGTGGCTCCCAGCCCTAATGTGGCATACTGTTCACACAGCTGCCATTATTTATTTACAGGTCTGTTTCTCCCAAAACACTAGAAGCCCCTTCACTGAATGAAGATTGGAGTTTAGAATCTAACATGCTATGAGGTAGACAAGTTTAGTGTCTTAATGGCTGGAAAGACAAACTTCTGGTAGCATAAAAAGGAGCTGCATTCTCCCAATCCCTGGAGAATTAGGCAGCTACCAAATGAGATATTACAGAAAGAGAAGTGGACTTTGAGCCAGAAGGCCTGAGTTCAAATCCTTTGTCTAGAACTTTACTTCTCTGAACCTTAAGAGTTCTTTCACCTGGATAAGTGGAACGGCAATCCCTGTCTTGCCCACCTCAAGGGCTGTTGTAGGGACAAAATGAGTCAATGGGTATTAAAGTGCTTAACCAGTTGAAAAAGGCCATACCTCTTTCACCAATGAGTCATTCATATAACAACTAAGTCAAATCACAGAAGCAAGATGAATATCTGAAGACAAGGCAGCCTACCACTACATACAGCTTTCTTTTGCCATAGATGCTATAGAAGGCCCACAGTCAAACAAGCAAATGTGGTCTGAGAGGGGCTCCTGTCAAGCCAAGAAAAGATGGCTGAGGAGTTCTCAGTGGGAAAAGCAGCACTTCTGCAAGACACACAAGGAACACCTTGTGTTCCTATCATAGGGCAAGGGAGATATTCTACATCCTTAGGACAAGAAAAGAAAGAGTTCAGATTTAAGCCTGAGAGCTTGGTGCTTACATCCACCAAACCTTACCTCTTTTCTGAATACTTCTTTGCTTTTCTTTGCTAGTTCGCTGGAGGTGTCTGCTTCCGCTGTCTTGGGCTTTTTCGAGGTCTAAAAATGAAAGAGAAAACACAGAGTGCTAGCATGAGAAGTCAGTTTAGTGATGCCCTACTGTCCAGAACCCTCCTTTCTGTCCCCTGATGGGGATACCTGATTCTTGGTATTAGAATCCATTTAGAGGCCCTGACTCAGATACATGGCCTTAAGTCAACTTGGCTATTATATTTCAAATCCTGTTATATGGTTTGGCTCTCCTACTCATAAGCTAAGTTCCAATTCTCTACCCTAAGTCAAAGCTACAACTTTGTTGTAGCCACATATTTCAGAGTAACTCAAGTCCCTGTTCTGGGTTCAGCTCCCTGAACTATCGAGTGAGGCCTGCACAAAACAAGTTCCATTTCTTCTACTTCTGACATTCTAGAATTACAAGACAGAGGCAAAATGCTCTGTTCTGAAGACTTTTGAATATTCTCACCTTTCCTCCAAAGGTGGAATTGGCTAGACTGTAGAAGACAGTCTCAGCCTGCAGGAGAGGCTCCTTGGAGGTTGGTACCTTCAGTTTAGGAACAGAAAGAGTAAGGAAGCATCATGATATTAGTGGGGAGGCGATGAGGGTCATCAAACTCAGTGAACAGGTAAGTAGATGATGATACAGAAGATACTCTGTGTCCCCGGCTGGTAAGAAAATGACAAACCCAGGAACATTCCTTCTACGACTGCTAGAGGGAGGCTGTCAAGTTTCCTCTGACCAGGTACTGCACCAGGAGGTGGTGAGTTGGAAGCTCTGGCTTTTAGAGCACCTGTCATGCAGGCCATCTCCCTATAACCTTTGCCCACCACTAGCCATCAGGCCCCTTCCCAGTAAATGTGCTTTCCATGGAAAATAATAATTATGAGCATTCCCCTCCAAATATAAGTTACTTCATGATGGATCTATAAGCTGGAGTTGATATTATAGGTACTTCAAGCTTTTTTGTTAGAGGCACAGGGCAGAATAATTTTCCTACTCCCCACCCATCTCCTGGTTCTGATTCCTCCATTTCCATAAACAATATGAAGTCTCTGGTGCTAAAGCAGCTGGACTAGCTCCAGAGAAAGGTGGCACTTCCTTGGCTTTACGCTGTTACAAATCAGCTTTCTCTGCTGTGTCATAAAAGCTTTACGTATTTTCCATTTTTCCAATTTCTTCATGTAGCTGTATGGGAAGATTGGGGGTAGAGTAAAAAGAACATAAAGATCCAATTTATTTTTTAAGAAAACAGAAGTAAGCAAAAATAATACTAATAAGTTACTTTCTTTTTTTTTTTTTTTTTTTTTTGATGGCTTCTGATTTTTTTTTATACCAAATGCTCACATTTGGTTTTTTAATTATTCAACTTTTGTTTTCTTTTTTTGAGATGGAGTCTCGCTCTGCTGCCCAGACTAGAGTGCAATGGCAGGGTCTTGGGTCACTGTAACCTCTGCATCCTGTGTTTAAAAGATTCTCCTGCCTCAGCCCAACAGGGTTTCACCGTGTTGGCCAGGCTGGTCTCAAACTCCTGACCTCATTATCTGCCCGCCTTGGCCTCCCAAAGTGTTGGGATTACAGGTGTGAGCCACCGCACCCGGCCAGTTACGTCTATTTTCAAATGTTTTGTTTTGGGGTTTTGTGATTTACTTTTTCCAGTTGCAGAGGGTGCGAGTATGCTCCACAATAAGACCTCAGGTAGCAGGGGATCAAGAATTATTTGAGTAAGTTGGCTGGGCGCGGTGGCTCAAGCCTGTAATCCCAGCACTTTGGGGGGCCGAGGCGGGTGGATCACGAGGTCAAGAGATCGAGAACATCCTGGTCAACATGGTGAAACCCCGTCTCTACTAAAAATACAAAACATTAGCTGGGCATGGTGGCGCGTGCCTGTAATCTCAGTTACTCAGGACGTTGAGGCACGAGAATTGCCTGAACCCAGGAGGCGGAGGTTGTGGAGAGCCGAGATCGTGCCATTGCACTCCAGCCTGGGTAACAAGAGTGAAACTCCATCTCAAAAAAAAAAAAAAAAAAAAAAATTATTCAAAGTCAAGAAAACTGCAACACATCCCCAGCTATTGTCTTGTAGCTCTCAAAAGTGAGTAACAACAGAAATTAGTACAGAAGGCCCCTTCAGGTCTGACACCTACCTCAAAGACCTGGGTCCTATGGAAGAGGCCAGGCTCTCAATTAGGGTGTATGTAAATAGAAATGTCCTGTTTCACTTGGGATGCATTCACAAAGCTAAATGAACCCAAAGCATTTTTAATAGATTTATAATTTCGGCCAAGCGCAGTGGCTCACACCTATAATCCCAGCACTTTGGGAGGCTGAGGCGGGTGGATCACCTGTCAGGAGTTCGAGACCAGCCTGGCTAACATGACAAAATACCATCTCTACTAAAAATACAAAAATTAGCCATGCATAGTGGTGCATGCCTATAGCGGGGGTATAGGGAGGCTGAGGCAGGAGGATCCCTTGAACCTAGGAGGTGGAGGTTACAGTGAGCCGAGATCGTGCTACTATACTCCAGCCTGGGCAACAGAGTGAAACTATGTCTCCAAAAAAAAAAAAAAAAAAAAAAAAATTTAATCCCTGACTTCGTGAAGTTGGCAGGTGGGGGTGGGCTTTAAAAACACAGTTATAGAATACAATCCACTGAACTCAGTCTAGGAGCTCTCTTGGTCCTCCTGAGTGCTGAGCAATTGGGATCGAGAAAGGAAATGATAAAATGAGGGGTCCCCAGACTTGGATCACGGAAATCATGAACCAAAATGAGATAACACATGAGAGTACTGAAATTCATGAATCCGTTTCTTCATGGTCTGTGACTGGCAAATGGCATGGGAAATAATTTCAGAAACTGGCTAACATTTACTCAAATCCAATGCCAGGCAAAGTAACCACAGTCAGAGTTGAGGATAGCATTTGTTATTGACATGAACAATCTTAGGACCCCTTACTCCAAAAAAGTTCCTTTTAAAAATTTAGCAGGTGGGGCACAGTGACTCATGCCTGTAATCCCAGCACTTTGGGAGGCCAAGATGGGAAGATCCCTTGAACCCAGGAATTCGAGACCAGTGTGGGAGACAGAGTGAGACTCTTGTCTCTATACAAAAATTTTAAAAATTAGCTGGGCATGGTAGCGCATGCCTGTGGTCCCAGTTACTTGGGAGACTGAAGTTGGAGAACTGCTTGAGCCTAGGAGGTTGAGGCTGCAGTGAGTTGTGATCATGCTACTGCACTCCAGCATGGACAACAGAGTGAAATGCTGTCTCCAAAAAGGAAAAAAGTACTTTTAAGGAAACCACCAGAGAACAGGGTGGGGGCAAAGTGCTCCCAGATCCTCATCAATAAGCAATAATCAATTTGCCTTTTCTCTACATTGGTTTACACAGAGTTATCAGTCAATTAAGATTCTGGTGGAAATCTATGTGAGGCAGTGGACAGATAAGAGTACACAATGAAATGAGCAGGCAAAGAACCTGGCAGAAAGCCAGAGTTACTGTCTTTAGATGCTGACCCTGCTGTCAGCCTTCATCTGTGGCACATCTGGATTCCTAGGGAATCTGTTCTGACTATGACAAGGCAACCCTGAGTACGTTTATATTACCCAAGGTGAGGCTCGAGCCCTTCTGGATTAGTTGGCAATAACCTTATTAGGCAGTTTTGGTAACCATAAACAGACTGTGTAACACAACAGAATCATCCTTTATTATAAATATTGACATGACTATGTCACAAAGCCATATGACTCGGAACCAAGGTATGGCTTGAGTTTCAGAAATGAGTCCTGACAATGGGAGAGCAGGATATACCTAGCTAGTGCTTTTCTCTCCCTGTATTTAATTACATACTGTTTAGAACGTAAAACATAGATCATCCAGTGAGGAACATCTTTTGTGGCAGCAGGAATCCAGAAGCAGAAGAAGCTAAGCCATACTATACACACAATTCAACCTAAGCTCTGCAGCACATGAACCTATATATGTCAATTTTTAAAAGGTTAAGATCCTTGAAAATAATAAAAACTTAGTACAGCTGGTGTTCTGCATCCGTAGGTCAACCAAAGATAGAAAATATTAAAATAATAAAAATAAAAACAAATACAAAAAAACCCCAATACAGTATAACTACTATTTACCTAGTATTTATATTGTATTAGGTATTATATACAACACAGAGATGATTTACAGCATATGGGAGAATGTACATAGATTATATACAAACACTATACCCTTTTCTATAAGGGACTTGAGCATCCTCAGACTTTGGCATCTATGGTGGGGTGTCTTAAAATCAATCCCCTATGGATACAGAGCAACAATTATAATGTGTCCCAAAGTATTCTTCTTTTGATTGATTTTACTTGGGATCCTTTAGGCTTCATGAATCTGGATGTCTATGTCCCTCTCTCAAGACAGGACATTTTCAACATTATTTATTTAAAAAATTTTACATAGGCTGGATGTGGTGACTCAGGCTTGTAATTCCAGCACTTTGGAAGGCTGAGGTGAGCAGATCACTTAAGCCCAGGAGTTTGAGACCAGCCTGGCCAAAAAAGCAAAACCCCATCTCTATTAAAAATACAAAAAATTAGCTGGGCCTGCCGGTGCACACTTGTAATCCTAGCTAATTGGGAGGCTGAGGCATGAGAATTGCTTGAACCCAGGAGGCAGACATTGCAGTGAGCCAAGACCACGCCACTGCACTCCAGCCTGGGTGACAGAGCAAGACCCTGTTTGAAAAATACATTGGCTCTTGATGCCACCTTTCTGCAACTCCCTCAATGCAACAAATACTCTAAAACTACTATTTTAACACAACATAGAGGAGATCTATTATACCTTATGACTGTTAATTAAAAGCCAGGGAGCAGCAGTAAATAAACTGCTGTCTCTCAATTGTGCAGGCAGTCAGTAATGATTCAGGTCAGAAGTGCTCAAAGGGAAGATCTGACTTTACACTTCACACCAGAGCTTTATAATTCTTGATGGATAGAGAGTACAAGACAATGAAGGGAACAACAATTGATGGAAAAGAGAAA